ATATATATACATAACATTCTAATCGCCTCCCAGAAGAGGGCAAAGAAGTACTTGGTCTTGCAGTACCAAATTTTTAGTGTGAAATTAGACAGGTAATGTGTTCACATATGGTGATACGACTTTTTCTTGGGAGTCGACTGAGCGAGCACGAACAACAACATGGAATCAAGCCGAACTGATAGCTTTATACAACAGTGATAGAGAGCGAGCATGGTAGAGATTGATGATCAATCTCATACAAGGAGCATGCAGTTTGAAAGAAATCAAGAACAATGCTACGATTATATATAAAGATAACGCAACATGCATAGCTCAAATCAAAGAACGCTACATCAAGGGAGACAGAACGAAGCAAATCTCAGCAAAGTTTTTCTCAACATCTGATCTGCATAAAGAAGGAGAGATCAATGTTCTTCAAGTTAAATCAAGCAAAATTTGGCGGACTTATTCGCCAAATCTCTACCTAGACACAATTTTGAGCAACTCAGAAAGAAGATTGGACTTCGCAGGCTAAAAGAGATAAATTAGTTTGAGGGGGAGTATATTTTTATTTTGCGGGAAAATATTATACACGATGTACTCTTTTTCCCTTAACTAAGTTTTGTCCCACTGGGTTTTCTTAGTAAGGTTTTTAATGAGGCAGCATAACTGATCCTGCAGTATTAATTAATATAGGTCCTGAAGAACCTAGCCAACATTATCCTATAGCATAATGTTGTTAGTGTATAATGAACGATGATATATCTGAGGGGGAGTGTTAAATATGGCAGATATATTACTCTTAGTATTTAGAATATCCGGTTACCTTGTTTACCTAGACTTTACCTCCTCCCCGTGTATGTATAAATACCCCGATATATGATGAATAAACTACTTAGTTCACAACACATTTGAACTTTTGGCATTTTGCAGAGCCACGCTTTGTCACTGTGCATTGACATCTTTGGTATTATGTTTTCTATTGACCTAAAATTTTATATTTTTGCATCTTACAATGTCATGTTTGTCATTGTATGTTGTTATTTTTAGCATTGTATTTTCGATTTACACTGTACGAATTATTTTTTCTCCATGTAGCACCATGGCACTACACCTGTGGGGATTAGTGATGCCGACAACGTGCGATGATAACAGGAGCAAGAGGTGATGAAATGATGAGTCAATAACTCCTATTTTGGGGGTTTTATGTTTTACTCATATTTTAGATTTTAATCAATGTTTTATTCCTATTTTGCTTCTTAACCCATACAAAAATGACACGGATAATTTCTCTATTTTCAAAACTTATTTCTAAAGTCTTTGTAGTTTCAAAACGTTGCACCCATACCTCATGTGATCATTTTTCAATCATTTTCTAGCGAAGAGAGAACATTGACGCGTAATTTCTAAACCATAGTGGACATTCGTGCTCATTTCTTGTTTTTCGTTTATTATTTGTGTTTTCCTTTTTTAAAAAATAAAAAATTTTCCACCACTGATAACTCATTAGGAGTAGCCCTTGCTCTCCGTAGTATTCGAATTTTCATGGGTTAAAGTGGGTCGGGTGAGCGGATATCTGTTGGGTCGATCATCATTTCCACTCTCCTCTCTCCCACGGGCCATTGCTATCCTACTCTGCTACCTTCGACCTTCTTCAACACGGTCCGCAACTAGGTATGTAAGCATCTTTTCCCCCCATTGTTCCCTTTTAGATCTAGGGTTTTGTATTCATTTCTCCGCTGCTTCCCCGTCCCCTTATTTCTCATTTTCCTCTCAATTCATGCACACCACATTCCAATGAATCTCAGAGTTTAATCTTTCTTTCTTTTTTGCATTGCATTATTTTCGAAAAATAGTTTCACTATTTTGGGGAAATTTTGTCGAGAACCACCTTACCAATTTTGGGATTTTGCAAATAACGCACTTATTCTCATTTTCCATGAAGAACCACCTAAAAGAACTGGGATTCTGCACCTCTTTCGGCTAATCTATACAGTCTAGGTTCGCTCTCAACTTCCCAGAGCTGGTTACCTGGCAGCTTTGGACCAATTGCACTTGCAGCATTTGTTAATTTTTTTTAGTGTAATTGGATTATTTTGTTGATCAAATGGAGTAAAATTACTTATCAAACAAGTCACAACTCACAAGGTGCACACTTGTACGTTCAATACAAAGGGGTTTTGGATTTTTAAAACAAGTTTGAGTTTTATCCAATTGATTTTGGATTGAACGCCCAAATAATGAATCTAAAAGTGTTATCGCGACTCTCGGATAAATCCCTTGTGTTATCTGATTTCCCAACAGCATTAAGACCGGTTAGTTCCCCCAATATTCCCAAGCAGCGCCGCTCTGCTTTCGAGAATCTAGTGCCATCTTCAAGGGCATTTGGGACCGAAATCAGCACCTTTTTTTCATGTTGATTGGTAAAATAGGGAATAGGAGAAAGAGAAAGGTAGATTTAGCTGGTGGCAGCGGAGAAGGAGACAATGATAAGGGTATAAGGATGAAGGGTAAAATGGGAACTTCAGAATTTTAAATAGATATTGAGAAAATGTCTAAGTAGTTCTCTTAACAAACATAAGAATTTTAAAAAGATATTGAGAAAATGTCTCATATTCAGATATTCTAGAATTTATTTTCCATAAAATATTTTTTGGATTCCCAAAAGGTGCTAGATGTTAAGTCGTTACGAAGTTGTGTAGAATGGTTGATATTATGCTTGCAAATGATCTTTGTTATCTCGTTACTTCTCATGGACTCCTACAATCTACTCTTGGAGTCATAAGTTGATTGTATAAACTGTTCCGATCCGAGCCATTGTAATTTGGGGCATTGAGAGATAATGATCAACTTTTTCCCAGGTTTCGGAAAGAATGAATTCACAAAAGGTAAAACCACTTGTAGCATTAGATGGTACAGCCAAAGAAGGTGGCATTGGACCAGCCATCGGTTTGGTTGACATAGGTGAGAGCGAGTGTGCTTACCTTTTCCAAGTTTCTCTTCCCGGCGTTAGGGATAAAGGTCAGCTCTTCTTCTTCTTCTTCACAATTCTTGTTCATGCAACACCAGTTATTATGTTTAAGCTTCTTCTGCAACACTTGCATATATTTTGATCGACATCAAAGATGAAAAAATTAGAGCTAACATGTATCATCTGATCCAGGTAATTTAAAATGTGATATACAGAGAGATGGTAAGGTGCACATAGAGGGCGTGGTCACAGAGTCTCGGCTATTGAGGGACTCGCCTACAGTGTATCAAGTGAATGTTCAAGAGCTTTGCCCGCCAGGACCATTCACTTTATCATTCAGTTTGCCCGGACCCGTGGACCCCAGGCTGTGCTCCCCAACATTCAGGCAAGATGGTATCCTGGAGGTCGTCGTAGTGAAGTTTGGGTTGCCTCGCCTGAAAGGCGAAGGAGGCTTGTCCGTGAATTGGTCAAATGGTTGGTTTCATCCATCTTCTTAACTCATGATAGGTGGTGGTCGGTCACCTTTCTTCTTCTTCTTCTTCTTCTTTCTTTCTTTCCTTCTTGGCATGTAACCGAACCTTTTGGGGTTAGCATTTTGTTGTTTTGTTGTGAGGACAGTAAAAGTTTAGAGTTTTGATGTCAAATGACAACCCACGTGGTGAATTAAATACCATGATTTTACATATTTGACCCCATTCTTGCATTTGATTTTTATAAAATTTGAATTCCGGATATCCAATGCATTTCATTCCATGTCCGATCCTGCATTTTTGGGTATCTGATCGGAAATATTCAAGGGCTAAAACACCTGATTACATACCCATTTTTTGAATCGAATTGGCCCGAATTGTGAACATTTTTTTTGGATAAAAGTTTTTCGAACAGCCCTATACTAGATGACCTTGATGGCTCTGGTCGACGAATTGTGTCATCTAATTTTTTTGGACCGGGCAGAGGCCGACTTTGGTCACACGGACGAGCATTGGTCTAACCCCCCCTCCCCCCCCTATTGTTTTTTTTGAAAGAACAACACCTATTCTTTGTGCTTTATAAAAAGGACAATGCTAGGGATACTCCATATAGTGTACCTCATTTGTACACCAAAGTATTCATAGACATATATAGACACTCAATGTGTGTACAGTGCACAAACATGGTATGCATGTCTGCCTGTGAATGCTTTTTAGTATACAAATGAGGTACACCACTTGAAGTATCCCTAGCATTCTCCTTAAAAAAATATGGCATGAAAATAGTATACCCCATTTATACAACAGACAAACACAGACACTAAGCAACTGTGATCACAAACACTTAGTGTCTGTGTTTGCATAGTATACCATATTAAGCTTGAGCAACCAAAGAATGGCCTCTACGTTCACCTCACCTTGTTACAAGGCATGAACATTATGAATACATGTTTTGTAAGAAGGGTGGAGAAATGCAATTTTGACCGTAGCATCGTCCTAATTTAATCACATTAATATAAAAAAATGCCAAAAAGAGAAATGCAATTGTGATCTTTGTAGTACTGGGAGATAAATGTTAGGACATAAATATAGAAAGCATTGTGTTCTAAGAGTCCAAATACAGTATCACGCCCTAATTTACAGCATCATCTGTCCATATATGTCTAATCTATCTTCTTGTTCATTCATAATACCAATGCCAGCCATCTCCCTACTACAAAATGTGATGGTTATGGTTCGTATTTCATTACAACAGCTTCAAAAATGCCATCTGATCTGAAGTTGGGTGAGAATAACCTTGGATCAACTGGTCCGGGCAGACTAAAAAACAGAGTGAAAGCGCCAGGCGGGCAATGCTCTTGAAATTTCATTTGAAACACCCGTGAATACCTTGACACGACTTTTTCTCCGGTTGATGTTACCCCATGGATATGAACCTTTCCATCACGTTCGATCTCACACTTGAATTCACCTGATGCCAAGAATCACAAGATTGTTTTAGAAAACTTAATGTATCGTCATCATCAATCAGTATAATCAATTATCCCATCAAAACCATGAACTCATTTGGGATTACTTTTGAAATGAGACACATTTCCAAAAATCACTATTTTAGTGTTTTTGGTTGAAAAAAAATGCTCAAACTCTATAAAAGAGCTCAAAACAGATTATTCTCAATACTTCTTCTCCAAATGCATTCATTCTTAATACTATTTTATTTCAATAAATATGAAAATTGTTGTTTTTGAAACTCAGTTCAGAATGTTTGCGCTTTTGAACAACTAAAAGCCCTTTTGAGCATGTGCGAGAAAACCATCCAAACAGGCTCTAAAGCAGGCTTGACGTTTCTCTAAGAATAAGTATACAAGTGTGTTGCACAAGAAGATATTCTGCTTGCTTTGACATACTGTACAATGGGCTTGTGGTTTAGTGCTTCATGGGGTTTGATGTTATTTTATATGAAGCATCGAATAAATGACCTTAATAATGTTAGTGTCAGGGTTCTTGAAAAACCAGGTAGAGCAGATCACATACTAGAGGCTAAAAACGTAAATTAGAATAAGGGGTGACAAACCAGGGTCCTTTTTAACTCCAGGTAGAGCAATACGGAAATAATAAGCAGATTTGCTGAGTCCAATGTCCAAAGCTCCAATAGGGGGTCCGGTTGCTCCTTTACAAGCTGTTCCGCTCAAGATCACTGAAGCCTTTGAACTACGTGCTAAGTTGTGGAGGGGTACAAGTGGCATTACGCAAGGCCTCTCTAAGTGTGACGAATCTCCTAATTGCAAGGGATTATTATCTTCATGGCGCCTCTTTTTGGGAAATCCTTCAAGCTCAACTTCTTGGGGACTGTCATGACTTCCCCCACTTTTTGCCACCTTCAGATTCTGCTTTGATTTCTTCCAAACGGTTCTCTTCTCATCATTTTCTGATTGTGAGATGTCCATGTCGATGCGATTTCGTGTATACCCAACTTTTAGTACTCAGGGTTCTTTCATCACATGCAACCATGAGCAAAAACAAAGAGCAGTTAAGTGATTTGGACCAACAAAATTCAAATCAACAACAACAAACCCAATAAAATCCCACAAAAAGTAGGGTCTAGGAAAGGTGCGTGCACGCAGACCTTTCGAGGGACCAACATTCAAATCATTGTTGCTTATAACAGTTCTAATAAAATACAATAACTCCAAGAACGAAGCATTTTAGAGAAGGGTATAAAATAAGATGAAACTGCTTCCTTATCCAGAAAAAGAACAGAGAACAAAACGATAATATGTACTCCTTCCGTAGTTTCGTCCCACCTCTATTTACAATAACTCCCGTACGTCTCCCACTTCTATTTAAGAAAAAGAATATGTGGCTCATAATATATGTCTTCTAAACATATTTCAACCACACATTTCACATTTCCAAAACTTGATGTCATCAAAGAGAGGAGTTGTTTTGCAGGACAAGGGGGGTATATAGATAACATACGCTAGAGAAAAGCTATGTCCAAACTTTTAGCTTAGGCAGAAAGTATCTATAAGAATTACGAGGATATGAATTACCAGAGTTCCCAAAGACTTACTTTCATATCTTGTTTTAGTACATAACAAAATATTGGTCCATGTCTCCAAAATTTCACAAATGACACAGCTTAAGGGTGCCAATATGTGCATCGGTATTGGATGCATTATACACAGGAATCTTTATAAGAAGACTTTTAAGGTAAAAATAGATTCAGGAATAGCTTCCAACATGACATTACCACAACCCACAATTGCTATAAAGAAAACAACAGCAACAACCCAATTGAATCGCACAAAAGTAGGGTTTGGAATCGGCTATAAAGAATAGGAGAAAAATTTTGATGTCAGGAATAACACTCGTAATGTACTCCCATTGTCCCGAAATAAACATCAGTGTGTCATCATAGAGTTTAAGAAAAATATCAAAAAGTAAAAAAAGGAGATTGAAATTAATTAGAAGAGAGAGAAAAATTGAAAGTAGCGGGTGGTGTAAGCAAATAGATATAAAAAAAGATTGCATTTGGAATTATAAATGTTTTGCATTTTCAACACATTTGATGTTTTGTAAGCCTTTTTTTTCACATGATTGCATTATTCTCAATCTTTAATCTGGCCCAGTACAATGTTAGGTGTTGGCAATCAGATAATTAATCAATAAATGCAGTGTTAAAGGCGATGGAACTCAAAACAGTTGAGGGGTTTCTGCATTTGATGCAGTGAGAAGAAAGGGCATTACCATCAAAGCTGAAGCCCAGACAGAACCCCCTGCACAGCACAAGCTCTTCGATTTCAATTATAATCTCTGGACATGAAAATGGTGGAATTGCTTGAAACTGTGTCAGGAGAACGATGAAAACAGTAACTAAAGGGCTTGTGCAATTACCTGCTGGAACAACCAAACACGAAACCTCGGATTTAAGATGAGATTCACGCGTCCAAACGTGGTCTAATCTAGAGTGTGCAGATTTTACAACGCACGGATCAAACCATAAATCATTTTAGATAATTGAAGATGAAAAAAGAAGGTCGCGCTTCAAAATCTGCTTAGAAATGAATTAGATTCATGGAACACACTAATAAGAAGTCTCGGAGAAGGAAGAGCAAAAATAGGGGAAAACATCATAGGAAGAAAAAAAAACACATCGCAGAGGCCGGTTTTCTCACCGTCACGGGCTGATTGAAAATCGACGAACACCTTGGTTTACCTCTGCCCCGCCACTACGGAGTAAAATCCGATGAGTTTTATTATGTTTTTCTTTAAGCAACGAAATGATCAAATGAGATCCAAATTCATTAGTAATCTTACTTACTATACATATTTGATTTGATTTCAACATAACTATGGAAGATAATTTTGAACCTCAAATTTTGAGAAAAGTTGAAGAAATTAAGATGACTAGAGGATGTAACAAATTTATTGTGAGCCATGAAAGGGGAAAATAAATAATCATTCCTTCCCACACGATTTTTTTTTTTTGGATTTCACTTTCAGTTACAAATGTGACAAATTGTATATTAAAATCATATTAAGACGTTAAATTTTTACTATAACTATATAATACCTTAGTTCCAAAAACAAATTCTTCATTAATATTCCATTATGACGATAACTATTCATTCCTCCGTCACAAATTAGATTAGAACAATGCTAGGAGTACACCAAAAAGTGTACCCCTCCACCACACATTTTTATTTTATTTTTATTTACTAATTTTTTTAAATTTTTTTTTTTGCCTTTTTTAGTGGGCAAAGAGGGGGTGGGGGCATACTAGAATTTTTCATTAGATTCTATAGAGTAATTGTCTATTTACAAACCAAAACTTTGGATATGACTTCCACGCAGGCTGCTGGGTGTGACACCATCCTTGCCAACGGCCACCTCAGATCCACGTCACAACCAAGTAGTAAGGAAGAAGGAAGTGTGTGGGCTGGGGCCGATGGCCGCCATGGGGAAGTTGTTTACGACAAATGCCGCTCGGCAGGGCCGGTGTTGCCGGTCCACACAGATGCGATGCCGTGCGGTCTTTCAAATGTGACAATTTCGGGTATTAAAATTGCATTGCAACATTAATTTATAGTATTACTAGTATTCTAACCCGTGCCACGCACGAGTTCGGACGAAATTTTTTTCGATTCTGAAACATTTTCAGTATAGTATTTTTTCGGGTTTAAGAAAAATATATTTCTAACAATGTTTTATATACTATATACAACAACATCACAGTAGAATAAATAATATGGAGCATTTAACAATTTGTGATGTAAATTCTTATACATGAAATTAAAAGACATTATGACAAAGTCTGATTATTGTAAGTATCTTTTTTAGTGTTATTGATTGATTCTATAGAGAAAATTATTGACCTTAAATATATGGTGAGATGTTCAAGCTAAATCACATACGTTGGTCAATAAAAAATGACCTTAAAGTTGATTTATAATATCATAAAATCAAGTGATGTAGTGTGTGGATTATCACAATTGTGGCCAAGGCATTTTATTTTATAAAGTAATGAACACTAACGTAAATATGTTTGGCGTTGTGAGACTTAGTAAATCGTAAAATAGAAAATTCTATTACAAAGCCATAAAACTTAGTATGATTATTGATTTGTTACGGTTTACTCCTGCACAAAAGCTATCCAAAACAATGTATGTGTCGATACATCAATCATAATACATACAACTATCATGAAATGAATAAATGTCCATGTTCACACAGATGCCAATTAATGTGCACCTGGGACAAATATTAAAAGTTTAAAAAGGATAACTTTATAATATGCGCCATAAAAGAGTCTTTTTTAAGTTTGGTGTCCCTCTTTGTATACCTGTATTTCTAATGTTTAAGCGACACTAAAAACACTTTTTGAAAACTCTATTACAACTTCACGTCACACTAATAAGAAGTATGATTTAAATTTTACAATTGCGTAATCACTAAAATTTAGAGTGTGCAATTAAAAAATCAATTTAATCCTTTAAAATTGAAATCTCTTTAGTCAAACTTTGCCATATAACAACTCACTAATCCATGTTTAGATTTTATATATGAAATAACTAATAAGTATAAACCAATAATGTTATACAGAAAAAAGTATCCAAAATTTAAACCTTAACATTTAAGGTTAAATATAAATACAATTTAATTGCTTTGTCAATAATCTTTTTAGTTAGAGGCCAAACGGGCATTATTAGTGATATATAAATACTGCTCACTTCGCTCTAATTTAAGTATCATGTTATTCATATGGTAAAATTCCAATCATTTTACTCATTTTCGTGCAGGTGGAGCTGGGGGTCTCTTGGAAACAGCCTTCCTACTTTCAAGTAAGAGCAAGGTCTGCGTACACACACTCTCCCCAGACCCTACTGTTGTGGGATTCACCTGGGTTGTTGTTGTTGTTGTTTACTCATTTTCGTTACTCATATTATGAAATAATATAATCATGTCAAAAATCAGTTTGAACAATAAAAAATCAATCTTCGAATCGCCCAAATAACTTCATAATAGCTCCAAATAGCTTCCCAATTGAAGAATAAAGCACCTCTGAACCGCCTAAAAATAAGATGTTAAATATATTTGGAAGTAAATATTATTAGCAAGTAAATATTGTTAGTATCATAAGCAAACACTTCTGTTTAAAAAGAAGCAAAATCTTTTATTATTTGAAAAAAAAATTGCTTGGACGAATGTACACAGCTATCAACACTTTTTACATGAAGAAAAGAACTTTGAAAAGATATGAAAATATTAAGCTAAATCTTTTTGACCTCTTGCAAGTAATAACCTCTTTGTTTCAATAATGCTCTATTCTCGTAATCTACATGCACACCCACAATTTTAGTTCAAGAATACATTAAAATGCATTTTTATCATATAACGGTGAAAAGGGGATTTGGAGCCAAGAGAACTACTCATATTAAATAAAGTGGGACAGTAAATGTGGATTAAAATTTTTTATATCTTTATATTTCAAACACTTGCCTACTAAGATCGATGATGAACCAAAATATTTCTCAAAACAAACAGAAGCTCCTAATTAGTTTAGGAGTTGTAATTAAGTGCGAAAAACAATTAAACAACATCAAGAAATTACCATGTTTCTTGTTTTACAATTGCCAGTTATAAAAGAAAGGGGACCTTGTAGTGGTCTGATAAAATGCAAATCTTGGCTTGGAATGTATGTTGAAAAATTTGGCTGCGAACATCAAAACACTTCAATTAGCTTTCATAATAAAGACTATACACAACATACGCTTGGGCAACATTTACGTCAATATATGAATCCTATTTACTTAAGTTAAAGAAAAATATATTTGATTCAAAGAGAGAACAATTTTGAACATGAATATGAATGACATTGACGTGTATGAAAAAGAACATGTCTACAATCTCAATTCCAATTCATTACGTTGTTTGATTATTGAATATTTAATATACATTAACCGTTTGGGAAAATCCAAAAAGTACAGCACTTCCTTCGATGCAACTCTCGGCTAATCCCCTTTCTCTTGAAAGAAAAAAAACATATTTGTTGATACTCAAATAACATCAACAACTAATGAATGAAGGTTTGTTTATGAAAAATAGTTGGGGTGAATTAACTGCAAGAATAAGGAAAATGAGAGGAGTAACTGAGAATAACATACTCACCTTGTGATTATAATGAACCTCATCTATATAATCAAATTGGAATGTAAAAAAGAGAAGTTTTGTCGCACACTTATAGAGGGAACAATATGAGTAGATGAAGGTGAGAATTCTACTATGTACCTCCATGGAGAGTGCCGACAACTTACTTTGTACCTGTGTTGAATAGACTATAAACACGACTATATTCCGGTGATGTTTGAAAACCAAAGCGTTTATGATTAGAACAAAAAAATATCTGATAACTATGTTGATGTAGCAGGGCATCTTCTTGGCCTTAAAGTAGTGAATATAGCTGAAAAGATGATACACCTTATTTCATGAGAACATTTAACCAAAATAGAGCAATTATAAAATTGTTAGTTTTTTGGTAAAGTGTTTGTTAATAAACTACGATTACAATTCCTTGGGAAGTGTTATAGTTTGTACTATTCTTGGTTGAGGAAAGTGAGTGACTTATTCTGTAAATTGATCAAAAAATTCTTTTTTTTGACTTTTCTGGCATATGGAAAGAGCTGAATTTGAGAACTGAACGATGTTCTTTAAAAAATATTGAATATAGAGATGATCATAATGAAGGATTTACTTACCTAATAAACATGAGTTTGGCTTGTCATAACAATTTGTTCTCCAGGTTGACCTCAAAGTAATGAAAATGTTGACTTGCGAATACAAATAGACAGAGAAACCCTGTCTAGATTATAATTAAAGAAATTGATATAAAGAAAATAATTTAGATTAATAAGAAAATACCAGAGAAACTTTCTTTCTCAAATACAGATTGGCCAGAAGCAATTATGGGAAACAAATTACAAATGCCTTGACTTTAAATATACAAAAATTTCATTTTTCACAATGTTTAGCGGTGCAACACATTGTGATGAAACCACATTCATATGTATCATCATGGAGTTTTCATTGACATACTTTAGTTCTTTTAGTAGTCAGATCCAAAATACATAAAGCAATCCAAAGGTATTGTTTTTATCTTTAAGGACAATTTTTTTTAGAGAAAAAAAGACAAAAAGGGACCGAGCTTTAACTTGAAAAAATAATACCAAAGTATAACCCGTGCCTATGGTTTTAACCATATGCTGGTCTTGCATGTGGGTCTCTCTGATCTGTGTGAAAAGAGAAGATAATGTTGTGATAAGGATGATAACGATGATTATCCTAATTACTAAAAAATGAAATCGATAAACCATTCAACTTATTAAATCACCAACAATAAGAATACAAATTACTTTCAAAGAGAAAAATTAGTGGAGGAGAAAACATATTCACATTCAAAACCCTACAATTGACCCACAACCATTCAATATCTAAATTTATGAGAGATAACAAAATTGTAGGGCATGTTCAACATGGGTCTAATTCACTCGAATGGGGGAGTATGGATGTTCCATTTAAGGTAATTCAAGGAAGAAATAAACCATTATCTAAATATCCAATGTCTAAAATTACACATTTTGTTTAGGAGAAAGCTGTAGACAGAACTTTGAAGGCACAATCCCAACCTAAAGCAAAAAACCATTATAAAAAGTAGAAAATCAAGACCCAACCTAATGAACCTATGAACTATAGAAAAATATAATATTCAATCTATCACAACAACATGAAATATAAGAGTATCAATGGTTTCCTTTAAAAGCAAAGAAAAAGTAATATAGAAATAAATGTAGTAAATAGATTTTGGCATGCTTAAAATATTTATGCATTCACTCAAACATTTTCTTTGCTTAAGCAATAAAAACACGGCATATCTTTTTAATGTAAATTCTGCAACTACACTATTAACATATTCTCGTATACTATTTTAAAGGATCAATGAATGACTACAAAAGTATATGCGGAGAAGGATATATTGATTTTATTATTTTAGTATGTAATTTTGTAAAAAAAGGTGCAGAAGCAATGTACTTCTCTTGCTTGAATTAAGAAGAGTAAATATTCAAGAAGCATAATTGAATATACAACACGTAGAAATTAAGAAGACCAATTTGTCAATGTAAATATCAAACAACATATAGAAATTAATAAGATCAACATGTCACAAAATCATAGATTATTAAGTACATTTTAATTTGTATACAATTAAAGCCATAAATTCTAGACCACTATTTTCTATAGCAAATAAAGCAATGAATATTTCAGAATTAAAGCATAAATAATATAAGATGTATCATAGAAAATCATTCTAAAAAAGTCATCCCTTCATAGAATATTAATCACACATGCCGTATTTAAAAAAAACTTAAACATGCCATTGAATAGTGTGTTATAAAATTAAACCACAAATAACCCAACAGTTAACAATCATACGGAAGAAATTGCATCATATGTAAACCAAGCCATAAATCAAGACTAAAAAAAAAAAAAGAAAAACCATTATATTGAAAAAGAATATGAATTGAATATGCCCGGTTATGTAAGGGATGAATAACAATTAAATATGAAAATCGAAACATATCAAATTAAATTGATCGCAGCGCCGATGAAAATTTCCACATTGAATCTCGAATCTCAACTTTAAATCTCAATTTTGGTATTTTGGATCTCAATTAAGCGAGAAGATCGGATGATGAGATTGGGCTGCCCTCAGAATCACATAAAATAAAGAAGGATCGCAAAACAATCCCAATATTCCGCCGGTCCATAGCCGATTGTTTTGTTCAGTAGCTAATTTTTTTCTTCCTAAGAGATTTTGAGATTTTGGAGTGTTTCCATCTATGAAGAAGATGCTCAATTAATGAGATCTTAATTTTCCTTCGGTGAAGTGTTTCCTTTTAGGTGAAGATTTGACTTTTTTTTTTAAATTTCGTCCTGTGAAGAAGAGACACATGGCAATCCCTAAGCAGTGCCAAATGGCAACTTCTCAAAGCATGAACTCTCAAATATTATATTAAATGATTCGTCCTGTGAAGAAGAGACACATGACAATCCCTAAGCAGTGCCAAATGGCAACTTCTCAAAGCATGAACTCTCAAATATTATATTAAATGATACTACCTCCGTCCCATTTCATAACGCATGTTTTGGTTTACGATGTTTGACTGAAATTATTTTCAAACCATTTTATATGACAAATGGTATAAAATTAAAAAATAAAAATTACATATTAAAAAACTACATCAAAAGATGTACAAAACTAGTAGTGACAATAGTATTTTATTTTATCAAATTGCTAACAAAAATAGAAAAAGAAAGTGAATGAAGTTTGACCCTGTGAATAGTAAACAGACATTATAATTTGAGACGGAGAGAGTACTAGGTTAACTTTATAATCCCTCACTTCCAATACCAAATTCTTCATTAATGTTCTATTATAATGATAAATCTTAGTACTTTACATTTAGTATGCTTTTTTTTTAGAAAAAAAAGAACTTCATTTTACCATAGTTCTTTTAGGGATGCAGAGTTTTTTATTTTTTCATAAATCGCTGTGAAACGAAAGAAGAAAACTTCAAAAAAAAAACAATATGTACTAGCTGTGCAAGCAAATGAACAACAAAGTCCCACCAAACCAACCACAAAGCAAAACTCCTACTAACAAATGAACCACTAACTAACAAACTAACTAACAACCTAGTCAGTCAGTCAGAGATATAATGGCAGGGTTGCTAATAACAATAATAATGATGATGATAATAATAATGATGATAATAATAATAACAACAACAATAACAATGCTCCTCCTTCCAAGTCGTCTTTAATAAGAATCATCATCAATTCATCCTCATCCTCCTCCTAAAGTAATCTCTGTCAGCATACTCATACACATACACATAGAGACAATGCCACTGAGTGCACTCGGTCCTGTCAACCTCTAGAACTCAACTCATGTTGCCTAGCCTGCCATTGTCCCATTCCCCGCTACACGTCACCACATTTATTTATTTATAGGTTTGGCTGCTCAAGTGGGACCCGCACAAAGAGACGCCCGTGCAGGCTCACAACAGCTGATGTCTGGAGAGGATCTATTCTTGCAGGTAAGCTCACCACCTGCCAAACATTTCTTATTCTTATTATGATTATTATTCAACTATTAAGCTCAAGATAATTCATGATGTCAAGTCAACTATAACAAAAAAAAAGCTATTAACACTTTATGAGTGAAGAAGTTGTGTTGAGGTAGTCGAAAATAAAATAAATGGCAGACCTTCTTGAAGGCAGTGATTCCCCATGGGTTGTTGAGCTGCTCGGGCTGACCAGTTATGACCAGACGTCCAGCTGGATCAGATTGAACCCGCACCTGCCATCATCAACACATCTATGGGAAGTCACTGACTATTCTTCTATGTCAGGAAGACTGGAGGAGGAGTACTCATTTTAGGGCCATAACTCCCATTTCTATTTTATGCTATACCTAGTATAAAAATAAAATAGAAATGGGATGTGCCTCAACTAGCCAAGCTCCAAGGGCTTGCTAAACTAATCTCGCGTACGACTGGTACGAGGGTGCCAAATCCAAAGCAGAGCTAGGATTCAAACTCCCTGTCCCACATACAGCCAGCATGGCAGGCACTTAAACAACCCTTGTTCTTTGCCAGTTGAGCAATGCCCTAAGGGGCCAAATGACTAATTTCTCATATCTATATCTCTCATACAAACATTCATTTGATTAGTGACTTACACTTCCCCAGTGATGGGTGAACAATACTCCCTACATCCAAAAATAAAGGTTCATGTTTGACTTTTTGGTCAAAACTTGTAAACTTTGATCATATAAGTTTGGAAAATAATATATTCAATTATAATGGAAACTTAATATCATTAGATACCTTTTTTAAAATATAGCTTTGAACTTCTTTGATAGAATTCATTTTTTACATAAGCAAAGATATTAATGATCAAAGTGTACCACTGAGGACCGTAAAGAGGCAAACGCGAACCTTGTTTTTGGATGGAGGGAGTATATGGCATATATTAAAATTAAATATAAAGTAATGCAAACATATAAATGGGTGTGTAAACATGGAAGCATATACTAAAATTAAATCTGAGGAGGAAGCACACACCTCCTCACGTAAAAGTCCCGGAACAAGGGCATACACCTCAAAACAGTCCTTCTGTTAAGAAGATGCAAAATCCAGTGAGACCTTCCCATGGGACAAAAATGAAAAAGTGAGGCTACTTCTAAAACAAATTCTTCTGTGAAAAAGAAACTTACTGCTTCCCGAACATTTATTTTCACCCAGTCAGCAGGTGGTCCAACATCAACAATTGTAGTATCCAACCTGGAATGTAAGAAAAAAACAAACCAACAAAGAATAGAGGCAACTCCACATCAACATCTAAGTGAAAGAGACATGCCATCACTTGGGAGTTAAAGAAATGTGATTTGCAAGGAAAATCACTACGATGCAAACCCCTAGTATGCACATTGTGGGCTAAGAAACTAATTAGTGACAACCTTGTGTGAAGATTATACTCTATGCATAAACTATCACTTACTAAATGTAAACCCAATGGTACCAAACACCGAGGGGGCCTTGACAAGTTGGCAGACCTATTTATCATTTTTAAAAGTTGGTTGCAGTGATCAAATACCAAGAATAAGCTGAACAGTAAGTAATGAGTAGCATGCAGCCTCCAAGAATTAAAATGCACCGCAATGTACAACTTTCATGTAGATGTAGCTAAAGGTGTAGCTAATGCCCAACTGAAAAATTTTATAGTGAATAAAAGAAATTTGACATTCTAGACTAATTCACACCATTGACAAAGAAAAACTTAACTGCCTAGAAGTTTCAGTTCGTGCTGCTTTTACAGGGAGTTCAACTTCATTAGGCCTCTTTTGTTTAAGAGAACCTGCATGTATAACAAAAGCTCAGATTCAAAATACAGATGGGAGAACAAACACAAAATATCTATCATGAAATTAACCCAGTAGAACAAAAATTAAGTCTATAGGCAAAGGTCAAAGACTTCAGTATAATTTGATTTTATTTAGAGACTAATGTAGCAAATGGACTATCAATGTCGCATCTCGTGAATGTGACATTGTTGAATAGGTAAGTAGAAATTTTTCAAAACACAGAATAACTCAAAATAGAAAGGATAGATTATCTAGAGTTCATATCCTCTCTGATTAATGGAGAGGTCTATTAGAAGAAAAACAGAAAATGAAAAATAAGATGTAGGGTTGAGTGTGTCATTTATTATCACTGCCTTGGTGTAGCTAGCCAGAGGCTACTCGTTGCTTATTAGGTCCTGAGTTCCAATTATTAAACAATTCATCTAAGGTATGCTTATATTCAATGAAATATCTTCCCAATATAATAAAACTTACACTAGAATAATGTAAGATTATATCATCCCAATATGATAATGACTGCACTAGAATAGGTAAGATTATATCTTCCCAATATAATAATGATTACATTAGAATAGGTAAGATTATATCTTCCCAATATAATAATGATTACACTAGAAGATATTAAATAAACTTACCTTAGATGAATTGCTTAATAATTAGAAATCACCACCTAATACGCAATGAGTAAGCTCTTTTGGCTACACCAAGGCCAACATTCAGTTCAGATAATAAATGCAAACTGTAGACCACATTGTGAGTTTGTGACTCTCTTGTGCTACTTTTACTTTTTAATATGTAAGGAAATATTGATAAGAGTTGCTCATTAGCTTCAAATATAACATCACTCCATAAAATCAATTAGTTTTTCTCTATAGATAACAAACAAAATGATAACCCTTCTCAATTCCTTCTATATTTCTATCTCTTTTTCTTTCCTACACACTCAACCTCACACCTCCCTTTTCACTTTCTATCTCTCTTCTAATAGACTTCTCTATTAACCAGAGAGGATTTGAACTCTAGATAATTCTATCCTTCCTATTTTGAGTTATTCCATGTTTTGAACTTTCTAATGCTATTCAACATTATAATATTCACGAGATGGGACATTGATGGTCCACTTGATACCACAGTCTCTAAATAAACTCAAATTATACTAAAGTCTCATACCTATGCCTATAGATTTAAGTTTTATTTTGGTGCAATCATGACCTAATATAGGCAATGAATAATCCCAAATAATTAAATTGCCTATTGGGTATGACACTCGAGGTAACAAAAACAACAACAAACACAGTAGAGTCCCCCAAAATGTCCCTAGAGGTAGTAAACCTAAACAATTACTCCCTTTGTTCACTAGTTAACTTCTTGGTTACTATTACAGGCTCTCGATAATTTTTGTTAATTTTTGAGTTTTCATTGATAATTTGATAAAATAAAGTATTATTGTTGCATCTTGTTTTATAGAACTTTTGAAACACTTCTGATATATGTAATTTGTACTTTTTATTTCTACACCAATTTGTAAATAAAATGATTTTAACACAGATGAGATTTTGTACGTTGTTCGAAACAGGAAGTTAATTTGTGGACAGAGGGAGTAAATTGTGATAAATGCAATTATTGAGATGAAAGTTGCAATGGTCAAAACTATACAAGATACTCGCTATGAATAAAGAGTGCTAGTAGAGTTTTGCATTATTGTGTACTCCCTCCGTCCCAAAAAGTCTTTCTCCTTTTATTTTTTTTTGTCCCAAAAAGTGTTTCACTTTTCACACTTTTGGACCTTAATACCCTTTACCCTAATTAAATCTACCCAACCCACCCAAACCCCTCCACCTACCTTATCCATCTATCAATTCACTCCTACGGTCCTACCCTTAGCCTCATCTCCATCTCTTTTCTCTACCTATTCCACTATTTGCTTTACACTATTTGCTTCTTATTTATACTATTTGCTTCTCATTGTTAGATTAGGTTTGAGGGTAAAATGGTCAAGTCAATGAAAAAAAATTGGCTCCTTAATTTGGTTGAAAGTCAAAACAAGAAAAGGAAAAAGGGACGGAGGGAGTATTATATTTGTACTGATTACAAGTTGCCTCTCCCATCAACGTCATCCAGAGAGTTATTTTTAGGATTACATAACTTAGAGTCTTCTAAGCAACCACTGCTACACTGGTTATGACTGTCCTTATTGCATCCTCTAAAGCGGCATAAACATCAGAGGTGATAGTATGATATAAAACACGTCCTTTCCGGATATATTCAGTGGATCACATCTCCAGAGACATCCATCGTACTAAGCTAGTAGTTCTTCTTTGGACATTTATGTGCAAGACCTGTTTATGAGCTTTTGGATCAGCTCGTTACTCAATGATATTGGGGTCTGGCCCTTAATCTTGGTTGATGATGCTTTAATCTAGTTATTGGGATTATGGATCTGGCTCATACATACCACTAATGGGTTGGGCTTAAAACATTGATTGTGAATCCACAAACCCATCAGCCCCTATAGTGATGTGGCATATATGCCAGTGTGGCATTTTTGCTGATGTGGCATGACAAATGGAGTGTGGCAACTAGATACATATTTAAGCCAGTAATAAACCATGAGAAGCTAACCTATACTTTTGAGACTCTTTTCACGTTTTGTCGTACTGCTTGGGTTCTTGTCCTATACACAGAAAAGGATAAATAGTAGATGTTATAAGATAATATAAAACATAGACACTAATAAGATGAGAGAATATAATAACAAATCCAGGACATATAGAATATCACAATACCTTTACAATTGGCTCATCACCCTCACTATACTTTATATGACGTTGATCATGCCATCCTTGCATAGCACGGGCAGCAGCGTCTCTACGTGCTCTGCCAGATCCAGGAGTTTGATGACCATTACCCTGAACATGTTAAAGATGACTAGTTTGCAGAGCCATTTTTTAGAAGGTGGTGTGGTTCAGCTTATATGAGGCAATATCACAAACATTTAAGCAAATGTAAAGCTTGTCCAAAACAATATTAAAGGGATAAAAAGTTAAAATAAATATTATGATTTTCCCATTTTTATGACAACACTTATTTTTCTTACCTGAAGTTCTTTTTGTATTGCCTCTAGTTTCAAGGTTTGGGATTAGGGCCAAATTGTTGTTGCATTTCAATTTTCCAACTTTAAGGGAGATAGAACGGTAGTTTTTACAGTTTGTTCAAGCAGTTTTGCACAATAAACAAGTACTTGCATTCTTTTGTGCTACGGGAAGATCACAAATTAGAGAAAATATGTTGAACTTCCATCAACATATCATATCCTCATTGTTTAAGCAGTGTTGACTATCAACAAAGGATGGGGTGGAAATACAGCACTAACAAATACCAAGAGAACACTTACCTCATTATCAACCCCTGAAGGATCAGGGAGAGAGACGATAGAGAACTGAAGCTCACCAGTTTGTGTCTTATGCCGTTCATATTCTAGCAAAGCCTAAATTAGATGAAGGATAAGGCAAGTTGATATATTGAACTACATAACAGCTGAGGGAAATAACATGGCATTGATTTTTATTTAACAAGGCATAGATACATATCATATACACCTGTTACTGCTATTCCCAATTAATGCTTAGATTCACATATTAGAATGAATGATGAACTTATAAAAATTCTGTGTTTTATGTTGAAAAACAAAAATGCTAGCAATTCTACGGTGTAAGTCAAGCTGAAGATATTACCTTCTCATAGAAAATACGAAATGTCCATGACACTGTCGTACAAGTCCTGTTTGACAGTAATTATCACATCAATGAATTTGGACTTGCATGGAAATAAAAAATATGGAGTAAAATTTTGATCATTGAACCATTAATTCATTCTGAAATAACTAACATGGCCCAACATGGAATTCATTAGACAAGTGACTAGCTCAAGGTTTCTTCTTTCAATATGACAGTATTGACATACTCCCTCTGTCCCACCATTTCTGGGGCATGAGGATGTGGCACAGAAATTAAGAAAAATAAGATTGTTTTGTTGATATTGATGTTAAAAAGTAAAATATAGTAAGAATGAATGTTAACTACACAAATATTGCCATAAATGGTATGAGACAAGAATAGATGGATTGATTAAAAAAAGGTAAAAAGGGACAAAAATAGTGGGACGGAGGAAGTGTCAGACCATTTTGCAAATAGGGTTGTCCTGACCCTATGTCTAAGAGGTCCCCCTTGACACAACTCAATGATACTTACTTGGGAGGGTTGAAAGACTCGCCCACTTGCCTCCACAACTTTGATCCAGTTACCTTCAAAGTTCAGAAACAGTGGCTAAAATTTATAAGGTAAACTTTCAGCAGGTTAAAAATATTCTTCAATTAACTAGGTAAATCACGTCAATTGTGAAATAAAGCAGAACATACACACGCGCCCAGGAAAACTCAAGCCAATTGAATGTAATCAAGACATCACTCAAGTAAACACTACAAAAGCAGTGCTGTGCTAGACGTGGAATCACCTAAGAGGGAGTAAGAGGAGAAAACTTTGAAGGTTTCTTATGCATACTCGGTGCTATAAAGGACAGTAGGCACCATGTGGGTGGCAACAAGCACTGCCTAGGCGCTGCCTAGAAATAGGCCAAGTATTTAACATCACTTTAATGTATATTTCATGTTAAGATACAGTTTTATTAATAAAAACAATTACAATTCAATCGGTATGAAATCTTAAACTAAAATATTTTGAATTAAAGGAGCATCAAATTATTAACAAAACGCTCAAAACAAAGCGATCTAATCAAATATCTTACATTTTTTGAAGCAAATGTCCTTTATAGACGAATTACTTTCTGAAACATAAGAAGTGTTTAAAAAAACAGCATCATTTTAGCTAAAATAAAAGTTGTAAGAAAGTTGTTGGAGCTGCCTAGACATGGCTAGGCATCACGACTGAGTTGGCTAAAAACAGGTTACTTGGACATTGGTAGGCAGCCGTTGTTTAGAACAATATGCATAATACGAAAGATAAATGTGTCCATATGGCTTGGTAAATCACTATTCAGATATAGTTCACACAAGCAAGTGAAATAAGGATTCACAAACATAGGCACAAGTCTTTTTCCAACAAAGATCCTCCACTTTACTCCCAAAGGAAGAACAAAACCATATCTTAATGCATGCAGTATTAAAAGCCAAGCACACTGTTGATGAAAATTCTTACCGTGTCATAGCCACCCAACTTAATTACAGCTCTCCATAATCTAAAATCACAAAACAGAGAGGAACCCATTCATAATTGTATCCCTTGAAAAACATACGAATATGAATATTTAATGAACCATGTGCGACCAGAGAAATAATTACTTGAGACAATTCAGTGGCTGCCCGTAAAACTTAGGAGGTTTAAATTCCAAGGCCCTCTCGCGATAAAAAGCTTCTACTTCCCTCATAAACAGTTCTTGATCTTCTATTTCATCGACGTCGCCATCCATCTAAAAATAAACAAATTGAATGCCAGAGTAAAAAG